CCTCGGCGCGGGCAGCACACCGCCAGCGTCACCTGCACGCCGTGGCCAGCTTAAGTTTAAGAGCGAATCGTGAGGATGTCTCAGCAGAAACCGGCTTTCTTGGTTCAGATGGGCGGGCTGGACGACATGGGCGAATCAAACGCACGTTCGGGCCTGCGGCGGCCGCCCGGGACGGTCAGGGCACCCACAAGGCGCGCGCTCGCCGTCGACGGCGGGGCGCGGCTGCGGGAGAGCAGCCCGAGGCGAGGAGGCCCTCCCCCCACGAGCGATGCCCTGGCAGATTGGGCCAGTTTGATTGCCGCCAGTTTCCGTCGAACGCGTGCGGATCAAGGGTGCGACGGTGATAACGGATCATTGTGCAGGCAGTTGCACGTCTCGTGGAATATGTTGCGGCGTTTATTTCCGTGTTTTGCGTCGTGAATTCTTGTTATCCGTGTCGCGCCTCCGTCTACTCACTCCCTCCTCCTCCTCCTCCTCCCTCCTTTTCCATGTCACGATCAGAATTATCGCGATGTGACAGGCCTCGCACTTGGGCAACACAAGGGGGTGCCGCCAGGGGATAATTAGGACACTTACCGGTTCGTGCCCAGATTGTGGGGATGTCTCCAGCGGTTCGCTTGTTTCACGGATGTAGGCGCGTCTTTTTCAGGGCCGCGTGGTGTTCGCGATGTCGCAACAAACGTTGCTGGGCGCCACAATGGGGAGCGACCACGGGGTGGGACATTTGCCCACTTGCGGTCAGCATTCGGGGATATCTCACGCGAGACGTTGGCTTTTTGAGGTGGGTGTACTTTTTTTCAGGGCCGCCACGAAGGAAGCGAATACTCGGATCAGTCCCGGCAGTCGCCGCGGTACTGGGAAGACCGTCGGATCGATCATTTCGTTGTCGATTTTTTTTGGCGCGTACCGTTCAAACCTTCAGGGTGGCCCAGTGTTGGCAAATTTTGCGCGGTGGTTGCACGACGAAGGTGGGCGCACCATAGAACCCTTCACGACAGCCCATCGTTGTAAAGATTTTCGTCGCGGGGCCTTGGACGCTCTGGGTCGTCTAGGCCTTGGATAGGCGTAGAGTGCGTGAGGGGTGTGCCGAAATCGGGCCCATTGAGCCGTCTTGAGAGGTACGTAGCTGTTTCTTATGTCTTGTTTCGCCGATCGGCGCGGGCCCCCGCTCCCTCCTCCCCAAAGACCAGATCTTGGCTGCTTAAAGCGGTTGCTTCAACCGGGTTGATTAAGCACTGGGGCCCGCCCCCCCTCCTCCCCCCGGTGGACACACGAGCTGCTGCTGTACGTGTGTGAGTTGTTTTCTCGAGGCGCCCCCCTGGGAATGAAACAAAGGGTATGTAGGCAGCTGAAGTGGGATCATGCGTAATCCTATTTCGACCTGCGGCCGTCTGTACGTTTCATGGTTGCACGCCGAGTGGAACACGTCCACCGCGTCGACAACGAACATACTTTTTCGCGTTGCATGCCGAGTGGAATTCGTCCACCGCGCCCGCAACAGCTCCTCTGCCGCGTGGAATGTGATTCCATTGGTCCGCCAAAAAGGGTGTGGAAAGGAAAGGGATTGAGAGGGTTTGCTGAGAGGAGAATGCAGGATTAAGGTCGACTGGGGCTCATGGCGTGCATCCGTGGGGGCATAGAGGGATGGTGCGGTTTTCTGATTGATCATGATTGATAGAAGTCTTTCTGCTCTCCGATGCTGCGAACCCTAGACCGTCGCCGCATCTTGCTAGAACCAAAGCGCGCGCGCAGCGCGCGCGTGGTTCTAGTATATATATATATATATATATGTATATATGCACATTTCTGTATATCTATATATACATATATATATATATGTATATATGTACGTATATACATTCATGCACTGTGCAGACAATGTTGTGCAACATATGGGCGTCGTACACAATAGGTGGTGCAACCTACGTCGAACAATATATGTTGTGTTATCCATGTGTTGTGCCATCTATCTGTTGTGCCATCTATTTGGTGTAATCTACGTGGTGCAACGTATGTTGTGTGATAGAAGTCTTGTGCTATATATATATATATATTGCGCAATCTGCATTGCACAATAGATGCCTGAAATTCGAAACCGGAACATGTGTTGGGACGTCGGAAGCTCGACCATATGCGAAATTGAACAACGTTGAAACAATTAAGAAAACCAATACGTTGCGCCGTTTGAGGCCCTTTTGGGAAGGCTTTGGAGGTTATTTCGGGGCACCTCGAAGGACTCGCGGGCCGTCTTGGAGCCGTCGTGGGCCGTCTTGAAACCAAAGTGGCTTGTCTTGTAGCGATGTTGGGCCGTCTTGGAGGCACCTGCGCCTCGGGAGCGCGAACCTGTCGCCACTGTTTGCGAGGGATTGTGGCCTCGGGAAGAGGGGGACGGTGCATGCCGTTGGGCGCGGCACGAAGGGGGGGGTGGGTGGGGGGCGGGGCCTTTTTAGAAAATTGTTGAAAATCCAGCAGACAGCACCTGGCATTCTAGCACGTCCCAGCGTGCCAGGCACGGTGGCGGGTCACAGGACCATGCCTCCGGAGACCCAGATCTTTGAGAGAAGAAGGATTGTTGACGTGCTGGTTCCTGCAATGTGGGTCGCGTCCGCGGCCCAGAGGAGAGGATCCCGCGAAAGCCAACCCCGATTCGCCTGCTGCTGCTCATCATCTTGTGTCCTCCTCCTCCTCCTCCTCCTCCTCCTGCTCACTCCTCATCAGAAGCCTCATCATCCTTGTCATCCGCCTGCCTGCTCCATCCGCCCTCATACTTCCTGCCCCCTCCCATCTCCCTCATACCTCCTTCTGCCCTCCGCCCACCCGCTCCCTCCTGCGGATTCAACTCCTCGTGCTCCCCCCTCCTCCCAACCCTCCTCCGGCATTCGTGCCGCTGCCTCTCCTCCTCCTCCTCCTCGTCCTCCTCCTCCTCCTCCTCCTCCTCCTCGTCATCATCATCATCATCATCATCATCATCATCATCATCATCATCATCATCATCATCATCATCATCATCATCGTCATCATCATCATCATCATCATCATCATCGTACTCTCCCTCTCCTCCTCCTCCACCTCCTCCTGCTCCTCATCCACCTCCTCCTCCTCCTCCTCTTCCCCCTCCTCACCCTCTTCCTCCTCCTCCTCCTCCTCCTCCTCCTCCTCTTCTTCCCCCTCGTCCTCTTCCTCCTCCTCCTCCTTCTCCTCGTCCTTAGCGTGCACTGCTCGTAATGCCTGCAGGTCGAGAGGGTCGAGCCCAGTGTTTCGCCCTCCCGTTCTGTGAGAAGTCGGAGGTTTGAGACTGCCTGGGGCCGACGAGGGGCCCAGGGCTCCGTAGGCCCCAGCGGGTTCCCTCAGGCGCCCCACCGCCTCTCCTCGAACTGTGCCGGCAGCCGCCCGGGGCGCTGAATCGGCGCCCAGTCTTCGCAGCTCCCGCGCGCCGTCGCCGAGCTGTACTGCCGAGGCCGCTCGCTCGCTCGCTCGGCCTTCGCCCCTGGTCGTGGCCGCCGCCTGTCCGGCACGACCAGGCGTCGCGCCGCTCGCCAGGTCGTGGAAGCTGCGGGGCGGCAGGCGGGGTCTCATCGGATCGGAGCTCAGAGGAGGAAAAAGTGCCCATACCTAGGGGAACAAAAAGTGACATAAACATAAAAAATCGGAGGTCCGCGCGGATTTCTCGGATCGGCCCTGGATCCCCCTCCCTGGTGCGCGGAGCGCGCCAGGGACGGCGCCGGAGGCGCCGCCGCGGGACCCCAGCGCCGATCCGAGAAATCCGCGCGGACCTCCGAGTTTTTATGTTTATGCCACTTTTTGTTCCCTAATACCATACCTTTACCATTCGCCCGTTTTCCCGCTCTCGTGCCTCCTCGGAGGGATTCGTTGCCACCGCTGGATTTGCCTCGAAGTCCTAGTCAGACCGCACCCCGGGAGAGGCCTGGGGAGAGGCGGTATCGGTACTTTGTGTGGTTTCCCCCATGCCGATCTTAAAAGCTCACCCAGTGTTTGACGGCGCACCCCATGGGACTGTCGAGCCTAGGGATCGGGAAGTTTGACGCTGGTTAGGAGCAGCGGCCATGCTTGGAGGTGCGGTTTTCTTAGGCACGCTCGGCGGCGGGCGCTCCGAGGGGGCATGCGGAGCCGAAGAAGAACAATCGCATAAGCAACAAAATGCGAAGCTTCGCGCGGATTTCTTGGATCTGTGCAGGGATCCAGCGCGTGTCCAAGAGCTCCGCGCGGACTTCTGAGAGTTGGTCATTGATGCAGTCGCTTCTTCCTCTGGCGAAGGGCTGCTTCCTCCCAAGGAGGCACTGGCCTTCCTGCAGGGTGGCCCCTCCCGCCTTGCAGGACGTTTTCCTCGAAAGCCGCACCCGGCACCCCCAGCTCCCCTTGCTTCGGCAGCAGATAATGGGAGCCGTGTGTACCCTCGTAATTCCGGTGTTAGGGTGCACTGGCGTTGACTAGCGTCGGGTACTTTATGAGATACGGCCGATTTAGCGTCGACAAACGTGAACCAGCGTCAATTTAACGTCAATTGGCGTCGCTCAGCGTCGATTCGCAAGAACCAACAAGGTGGTACTGGATGCTCCCATGAGTTGTCACCGAATCCTGTTGCCCGCAGCCAACACGCTCAGAGGGAACGATTGGCAGGGTGGGAATGACGCCTCGAATGCGCGCTCCCGCGGCTCCGTCATTGCCCAAAGCGCCCCAAAAACTATTGCAAGGAAGGCCCCGCATCGTAGAAGCCCTCGCACGGATCGTCAAGACGTGGTGTGCCCTGGTAGCCGTGGCATCCTTGCAGACCTCCAGAGACACTGGGTCTCCGAGGTAGTCCTGGTAGCCGTGTGTCCTTGCAGGTCCCCGGAGGGCTCCGAGGTATCTGAATGTCTCGAGGGGTCTCAGAAGGCCTCCGCAGCCATTAGGGCCCCCAACAAGGGCCAACAAGTGCAGCAAATCTCGATTCGATGTCCCCGAGCCTCGATCTGGGGGTCGCCCGCCCTGGGTTGCCTGAGATCAAGCTCATCTGCATGACGTCCGTCTGGTGGATCCACGGTATGGCCTACGCCTCGCACTACTGCAGGTGAGTCGCCGACCCTCTTGCCGCTGGTCCCGCAGGTCGTCGTCGTCGTCGTCGTCGTCGTCGTCGTGGTCGTCATGGTCGTCGTAGTCGTCGTCGTCATGAGGGGGAGGAGGAGCATCTCGGGGAGAGAAGTGGCACCCCCACCCCTGGTTGGCCCCCCTCCTTGGGGCTGGGCCAAAAAGCTTCGATACCCGATTGCACGGATGTCCCGCAAAGGTGGCACAGTACGTATACTTTTGAGTTGGGCATGTCCTTCCAAAGGAGGGATACTCAAGAATAGTACAAACACACATCTGTTGACGATTTGTCGTGTTGTTTTTGTTTGGGGGATTTCTTGATTTCCTTAATATATATATATATATATATATATATATATATATATATACAAATATACATATATACATATATATACATATGTATATATATATATATATAGATCGGAGGTTGGGGGATGAGATCGAAGTGGAACGGAGAGCCCCCCTACCGGGAAATCGATTTCGGTTTCGTGTTCGTGCGTGCCGTGCGTGCGGGCGAGGCGAAGCTGCGTGGGCGGGCGAGAGGAAAGTCTCCTGTGGCTGAGGCGCGGCCGGACCAAATGATTCTCCACCGGGGCGCGGGGCCGCGCGGTGTCCCGCCGGTGTCCCGGTGGTGTCCTCTGTGGCTGAGGCGCGGCCGCACCAAATGATTCTCCACCGGGGCGCGGGGCCGCGCGGTGTCCCGCCGGTGTCCCGGTGGTGTCCCGTCGGTGTCCCGTCGGTGTCCCGATGATGATGTTGATGATGATTATGATGATGATGATGATGATGATGATGGTGATGATGATGATGATGATGATGTTGATGATGATGATGATGATGATGATGATGATGATGATGATGATGATGTGATGATGATGATGGCGATGATGATGATGATGATGATGATGATGATGATGATGATGATGATGATGATGATGATGATGATGATGATGATGATGATGATGATGATGATGTTGATGTTGATGTTGATGATGATGTTGATGATGATGATGATGATGATGATGATGATGATGATGATGATGATGATGATGATGATGATGATGATGACGACGTCGATTGTGAGATCGATTGTGATCGGAGGTTGGGGGGTGAGATCGAAGTGGAACGGAGAGCCCCCCTACCGGGAAATCGATTTCGGTTTCGTGTTCGTGCGTGCCGTGCGTGCGGGCGAGGCCCCGTGCACCCACAAGTACAGGCTAGGCTTTGCCAGCCGCTCTCTCCGAGCGCGCCCCGTTCCTTCGGGCGGCCGCGCGGGCTCGCCGCCGCGGCTGGAAGCGAATCGAAAAACTGGGGCGTCTGGGCCCGTGGAGATCGGCCGTCTACATAAAAAGGGATACGCCGACAGGACGCCGGCGCGGGCCCCTGGGAGGGGTTCCGGTTCCGTTTTGAGGTTGGCGCCAGGTTCGGTCGAGGTTTCCTGGCCCTCGGAGGCCCTGCTCGCCGCCGCGGCTGGAAGCGAATCGAAAAATGGTGCGTCTCGGCCCCTGGAGTTGGGCCGTCGACATAAAAAGGGATACGCCGACAGGATGCCGGCGCGGGCCCCTGGAGTCGTCGTTCGCCGTCGCTGTTGGAGTCGGCGTCGTCTACATAAAAAGGGATACGCCGACAGGACGCCGCCGCCGTCGCTGTCGCAGCAGTTCTCATCAATTGCATTTGCACCATGTGCAACCCGACAAAAGGAGGGAGAGGAGCCTCAGCAGGCTTCCGAGAAAAAAATCTCCACTGGCATCGTCAGGAGAACAATCACCACTGTTGCCGATTGCTCGGCCCCTCCCCCCCCCCAACCTCCTTATCACCCGCAGGGTGGTCGTATAGGTAACTATATATAAACATGTCCCAAATCCGCTTGTAGGAGGACATGCCCGACCTAAATATACCCCCCACCTTGGGGAACGGCGGGCGAGGGCGTCAACGCTTCGAGATGGTGATTTGCGCAGACGGCGTGGGACGCCCGTTGGTCACGGCACTGCCCCGCGACGCAGGGCATTCAGGTGTCCTGTGCCAGCACCGCGAGTGGCCCACGCTGGTGAACTACAGTCGGGGCCCTGAAGAAGGAACCCTTTTCGTTGGGGAGGGGTTCCGTGTTCCTTGATTGTTCTGCAGTTTGCCTTTTGTTCTCCTCAGGTTTTCCATGGGAAATCGACGTTCAACATGTGGATCGAAGGGGCCCCGTTCCTTATTTAGGGTTCCTTGGGTCAACGTTCCGACGGTGCTGGATCCCGCGCGGCCTGGTCACGGGGCCGTGGGTCGGGAAACCGGTGAAAGCCACGGCGAGCTGGTCCCCTGGGGCTGCGGATTGGGCTGCTTGCCACGGGGCATTGTTCTTCGGCGACCGGGCCCCGGCCGCGGAGCTGAAGAATTAGGCGTGCCCAAAGAAGTACCGACATGCTTCGGTTGACGAAGCAGGCTCCGAACGGGATTTGAGTGCCGTGCTTCATCTAAGTCGAGGGGCGCCGGGGGGAGAGGTCGCAGGCGCTGCGCATGCGCATCAAGCTGCGGGAGGAAGGGCCGTGCAAATGCACCAGCAAGCGCGCGCATGATGCCTGGGAAGAGCTCAAGACCCTGTGGTCGGAGTAGCTGAAGTGAAAGGTTAACGAAATCATAGAGAGTGCCTCATGTACCAGCCTCGGAAGGATTATGTCTTGTTCGCCGCGCTCGCACAAACGGAAACAGGCGACTCGTTTCTCGACGCCCTGGAAATTTTCGAGCTGTACAACCTGGCCAGCTACTTTCGCAGGGTGGCCAGATTCGAACGGCAGGCTCAGCTGGCGCACCGGGGCGGAACCCATCGGGAGCCACTGCGCCCCTTGGCTGCAAGGGGGGCTCCAGGAGGAGGAAGCGCAGGAGGAGCCAGAGGAGGTGCGTCAGGCGGTGGCGGACCAGGGCCGCGGGCGGCAGGCGGTGGCGCGGAACCGGGAAGGCCGATTGGAGGGACCAGAAGGCAAGGAGGCGGTAATCAGAAGGCGCTGCCCCCACAGGAGGCGTTGAAGGTGCTGACCCAAGAGGACGTCGCTCAGTCGTTCGATCATATTCCGCCAGACTCCAAGGGCAAGTCGAAATGCAGGGATGTTTCTTTCCGCGACGGGCGCGGCGAGACTGCCGCCGCGCGCCCGAGATCGTGCGCGGAGAGAATCGGACAGGCCGAGAATTCGCTACGCTGGGCGATGGCGGCGCGGCGCGTCGAGCGCGGGGGGCTCAAGGCAGGCGCGCGGATCTCACTGGGCGCTCTAGTGGCCGAGGTGCAGCAGCTGAGGGGGGGGTGCGTGGAAGGGGCAGCAGGGCAATGTCCAGGGGGAAGTTGAGCAGGCTAGGCAGCGCGTGGGCCGGCGAGGCGCGGGGGTGGACCTGCGGGCCCCAGAAGGGCGTTCGACATCGCCGCGAGGGGGGCGAGCTGCAGCGGCGCGCGCCGGGGCGGCGTGGGCGGCGTTGAATGCCCCGGGGAACCAGGAGGTTCGAGAGGCCCCGCCGAGGTTGAGGTCCTATTGCGACGGTCGGTTCTAGCAGGGGCGGGCGCCGGGCGCGAGCGATCCCGGAGGTGCCCCGGGATTCGGTGGAGCTCAGGGCCGAGCTAGCGGATCATGCCTGGCAGTTTCTGCGCCAGCGAAGAGAGTGGGGGGTCCGAGGGTGCGTCCAGGGGGCCGGAGGCGCGCCCGTCCCAGGCGAGGCGGGGCGCGGTGGCGGGGCCAGGTTGGGCGCGCGCCCGCGTGAGAGCGCCAGCTTGGGAGGCGCTGTCCTACTGCGGCCGCCCGCCTGTCGCCGAGGAGTCCTCCGAGTTCTCGGAGCGGGTCCACCCCTGAGACGAGGCAGCGCGCGTTCATCAGCGCGGCAGCAGCCCGCCCGCGCGCCCGGCGCGGCCGACGAGCCAGCGCGAGCGAGGTGGCGGATGAAGCCCAGGGGCGGAGGCTGGACACGTGGGAGGCCGCGAACCGAACGACGCGAGACCTGCGCGGCCGAGTCGCGCGCCCGCGCGTTCAGCCGCGACGCCGTGTCAGCTTGGGCGCGACAAGAACTGCAGGTGCGGGGCGCCCCCCCCCGGGCCGTGCCGCCGCGGGCGGCCGCCCGCGTGGCGCGTGCCGACCGCTGGGGCAGAGCTAGTCGAGGACTCATTGCGACGTCGGGGGCGGGTCCGACATCTGGCCCTTGCTGACGAGGGGCCACCTGCTGGTTCTGCCTCCGCCGATCCCGCATGGCGCGGCCCTGGGGTCAGACGTCGCGGTCGGCCATCCCCTGGCCGAGGCACCGGCTGCGGGGCGGGGCCCATGCCCCGCGTTGTCGCGCGGGCTCACGCAGGGCCACGCGCGCGACAAACAGCGCACTTCGCGAACCATCTGCAAAACCATCGCATCGCAAACCAGACGCGCGCGCTTCGCAATGCGCGCACTTTCAATAGGGCGCATGCACGGACCACGAGTGACCAGCAATAGCGATGAGCTTCGCAGCCGTGGTCTCTGCAGCGCCGAGCACCCATGATTCTCTTTGGTGCCGGATCTTTGTCTTGCGCTGTGGCAAACGAGCGAGCGTCGGCGCCGAATCTCGCGCGACACGAGCGTCGCTCGCGCGCCTGAAGTCCTTGCCTGGGGGCCCGCGGCAGACCGTGCGCCCCGCGGGGGCCGCGGGGGGCGCTGGCCACGCGTGGATCAGCGCGCCCGCCTCCATGAGCTTCGCGGCCCGGATCCGGGGCGCACGGGGGGGGGGGGGGCGCGGGGCCGGGGGGTCGCGCTAGATGTCAGTTGTCGCAGAAGCTGGGCCGCCTTCTTGGCGCCTGGCAGGCCAGAGGCGCGCCGCATTGTCAAGCGCGCGGATGCTCGCGCAGTCCTGATTTGCGCTTTCCGTCGGGGGCGCGCGCGCGCGCCCTGGCCTCCTGAGCTGGGGCGCCATGCGCGCCGCGCGGGGCCGACGTTCAAGATGGCGCGCAAGTTGCCGCGATGGCGGGGGCTCAATATGAATGCGTCGAGCGCTGAG